TGTATCACACCCTATTTGGGTGGGAGGTACCGTTCATCCCGACTCAGTGCTATGAACGAGTCTCAGTCGATTGGAGCGTGGTCTTATCGATAAATCATGCTGGTGGGGACGCCCCAACCCATTGGCTAACCTTGTAACTCGAGCCAGCAAGGGCTTGGTCGAGAAGCCTGGTGAACCTTGGGAAATGACGTAGTTTGATCTTTTGAGATCTCGCTTGGCATACTCGAATAGTATCGCCACTATATAAATGTTTGGTTCCAGATCCGAGTGGGTGTTATGTTAGATGGAGGGAGTAAGTGGAGCGCTACGGTCATGATACTACTTGAGTTGACGAAAAGTCAACCCAGATGACTTGAATCGGTCGAGACGTGAAAATAGCTCTTGAGAGCTCTTGTTTCCTTCCATATGTGTTTATTTACTACTTGTACACTTATATGAAAGTTCATGTTAAAGCTGTTTTCAACTATGCTACTTGCTTGCTTGTTTAATTTTCTTGACCTTACTGAGCGTTAGTTCATCCCAAGTTTGTTTTCCTTAACAGATTTTGGAAGTGAAAGTTGAGGAATTTAAACTAGCAACTTTTGATCGAAACTTGTAAAATCTTGTGAATGATATTGGAGATTTCTGAAGTGTAAATTTTGTTATATTTGAGGACTTTGGTTTGTAATTATAAATGGTAGTTTTAGAAGTTGTGACTTGTATATTTGAAGAATTTCTTTAATTCTAAATCTATGGTTGACTTGTGGATTCCTTTTAAGCTTGAATAAGTGGGTGAGTCCTGACGAGAGTTGGGCAGGCGTCTCGCTGATACCTTAGGATTTGCCTTAGGGAGAAGTGGGGGCGTCATACTGAGGACAGTGCAAGTCGCTCCTGTTAAAGTAGTGGTAGTAGATGGTAACTCCCTCACTACAACCACTCTATGTCCAGGTTTCAGTGGAGAATGCAGGGACAGGAATTTGAGGGAGACGTACTAGTGCTACCTGTAGGTGGTTGTGAAATGGTACTGGGGATGCAGTGGTTATCTACTTTAGGGGATGTCAAGTGGAACTTTACAGAGTTGAGGATGGAGTTTGTTCAAAGGGGTAAGAGGGTAGTCTTAAGGGGGTCCAGGCAACAACCAGTCCAGGTGGTTTCAAAGAAACAAATGCAGAAACTCTTGAACAAGCCTGAACAGATTGAATTAGCTCAGCTATGTTTGGTAATAACAGAAAATGACTACGGGCAGGTGATTGCAAATTGTGCCACCATGGAACCTGTCATGAAGGTAACCCCCTACAAACCCCAACTTGAGTTACTTCTGTTAAAATACAATGAAGTGTTGAAGAGCCTGTGGAATTACCCTTGCTAGAATGCAAGATCACAGAATTTATCTCAAGAAAGGTACACAACCCATAAATGTCAGACCTTATAGATACCCTACGTTTCAAAAAGGAGAAATCGAAAGACTGGTGACTGAAATGTTGAATAATGGCATTATTAGGCCTAGTAATAGTCTTTTTTCCTCTCTTGTTGTCTTGGTAAAAAAAAGGATGGTGCCTGGCGAATGTGTGTGGATTACAGGGAACTTAACAAGGCTACGGTAAAGGACAAATTCCCTATACCCTTGGTGGAAGAGCTCTTTGATGAATTGTTTGGAGCTGTTATATTTACTAAACTGGATTTGAGGTCAGGATATCATCAAATCAGGATGCATATGGGTGACATTGTTAAAACTGCATTTCGAACGCATGATGGCCATTATGGGTTTATGGTTATGCCATTCGGTCTCACCAATGCTCCCTCAACATTCCAAAATTTAATGAATGACATCTTCAGGCCTTTTTTAAGGAAGTTTTTGTTGGTCTTCTTTGATGACATCCTAATTTACAGCAAGTCCTGGGATGAGCACCTTCAACATTTGACAAAAGTGTTTGATACATTACTTCAACGCCAACTCAAGGTGAAGAAGAATAAATGCTCATTTGCTGTTGAACAGATTGAGTACTTGGGGTACTTAATTTCGGCAGAAGGGGTGAGTGCGGACCCTCAGAAACTTACAAGCATACAACAATGGCCTATACCTGTTACTATTAAGGAGCTAAGAGGTTTCTTAGGATTAACAGGTTATTATCGCAAGTTTATCAAAGGTACGGACAAATAGCAAGACCTTTGATTGATTTATTCAAAAAAAATGCATTCGCAAGGCATGATGGAGCAACTGCTGCATTTGACCAATTGAAGGCTGCTATGACTTCATCTCCAGTATTAATCTTACCAGATTTCTCTCAGGAATTTGTGGTGGAAACTGATGCCTCAAACTCAAGCATTAGAGCTGTTTTGCTACAAAGAGGGAAGCCACTAGCATTTTTTAGCAAGGCTCTGGCACCTCAGCATCAAGGCTTGTCAGTATATGAAAAGGAAATGCTAGCCATTGTCAATGCAGTACAGAAATGGAGACCCTATCTGTTAGGGGGACATTTTGTTATCAAAACTGATCATCAGAGTCTCAAATATCTAATGGATCAAAAGATCTCAACACCAAGCCAGCAGAAGTGGTTGTCCAAATTGATGGGGTATGACTATGAGGTGCAGTTCAAGAAGGGTATTGACAATGTCACTGCTGATGCCTTATCCAAACAACCTCATACAACAGCCACTTCCTGGGCACTCCATGGTATTACCACTGATTTGTTAGCTGAGGTACAGCACTCATGGAGATCAGATCTTAAGGTGCAGAACATCATTCAGTAGCTGAATTCAGGGGACACTTCCAGGGCCAAGCATTATAGTTGGGACAACCAGGTGTTGAGAAGGAAGGGGAAGCTGGTAGTGGGAGCTGACCGAATGCTCAGAGACAAGATTATAAAATTTTGGCACAGTAGTTCTTTTGGAGGACACTCTGGGGTTCTGGTGACGTATCATAAACTAAAGGGAACCTTTTATTGGAAACACATGCACGAGGATGTTTACAAGTTCGTTGTTGCTTGTGATATCTGTCAAAGACATAAAGCAGATTTGGCAGCCTACCCAGGTCGCTTACAACCATTGCCTATACCCACAAAAGTATGGGCAGATATCTCTATGGATTTCATAGAAGGCCTGCCAAAATCCCAGGGAAAGCAAGTCATCATGGTAGTAGTAGATCGCTTGGGCAAATATGCCCATTTCTGCGCTTTATCTCACCCCTATACAGCACTGGCGGTCGCTCAGTCCTTTATGAATCACGTTTTTAAATTGCATGGCCTCCCTCAGACCATTGTGAGTGATAGGAATTCGATCTTCCTCAGCCACTTCTGGACAGAGCTGTTCAAACTCTTGAAGGTCCAGTTGCACTTTTCTAGTTCCTATCATCCCCAGTCAGATGGGCAGGCTGAGGTGGTAAATAGATGTTTAGAAGGATATCTGTGATGTATGGCAAGCGAGCAGCCTCGTACATGGTATTCTTGGTTACCTCTGGCTGAGTTCTGGTATAATACGAACTTTCATTCAGCTACGAAGATCACTCCATTTCAAGTAGTTTATGGACAACTGCCTCCTATTCATGTTCCATATTTACCTGGCTTAGCTGTGGTTGAGGCAGTGGATCGAAGCTTAGCTGCAAGGGAAAAGATATTGCACCTCCTTAAGCACAATATTCAGAAAGCTCAACATCGCATGAAGCAAATTGTTGATGCGCGTAGGACTGACAGGGAGTTCGCGGTTGGAGACTTGGTTTATGTCAAATTGCACCCATATAAACAACACTCCCTCAGATCCTCCGGTTGTCAGAAGCTAGCCCCAAGATATTTTGGACCTTTTCCAGTCATTGAACGCATAGGGAAAGTGGCCTACAAGCTACAACTCCCTGATCACCCACGCATCCATTCAACTTTTCATATCTCATTGTTGCAAAAGAAGGTGGGGTCTCATACTGTTGCACCTTATTTACCGTCGGCTATCACTGATCAAGGTCACCTGTTGCTCGAACCCGTAGCCATTCTGGACAGGCGCATTGCTAAGCGAGGAAATCAAGCTGCAACTCAGGTTCTGGTTCAGTGGAGTAACTCATTCCCAAAAGACGCTACATGGGAGTTCTTGCATGATTTACAGTAACAGTTCCCTACCTTTAGTCCTTGAGGACAAGGACTTTCTTGGGAGGGAGCATCTGTTACATACACAGATATTGACCTTGGGCATTTTTGTAATAAGCAGACTTTGCATTCTTTCTGTAATTGTTTCTTGTTTGAATTCTTGTAACGACCTAACAGAAATAGTAAGTATCATGCATGGGTAGGAAATTAGTTACGTACAAGTCACATGCATGGCACGAATATGGAAAGGCAGTGGAGTAGTTATAACTAACTCCTTCCACCGCCTCTCTACATGCATAAAAGGCCAGGAGCTGAAGAAGATAGGTAGTGAATGTTTTAGAATCATTTCATTCTTTCCAAAATCTCTCCCTTAATTCTAATCATCAATAAAATTTCTATCCTTCATCACCAAGGGGCGTTCTCCATTTTCACCCCTTTTGATAAAGGAAATTTGGTCTCTTCCTGTCTTCTGTATCATCGGATCAAGTTTTGATCATCAAACAATTTTTCGTCATAAATTGGCCACTAAACTGACTAATTAGTGCACCTGTGACCATTGTATCAATTAATACTCTTAATCTATGAAATAAGTAGAACATGTGGCAAAGTGCAGGGGCAGTTTTGTCCACCACTTACGCGATTAAGAGCAAAGCTATGCCACTTGTTATGCTTATTTCATATATTAAGAACATTAATCGATACAATGGTCATACATGTACTGATTAATTAGTTGAGTGGCCAACTTGTAATGAAAAATTGTTTGATGGCTAAAACTTGACCCGACTAATAGTTTAGGGGCAGTCGAGATTTTTGCCGGTGGAACTATTATGTAATGGTAAATCCATGTTGTGCGGATAGATTATTTACTTAAAAGAAATACAATGTCTACCTTTTGCGAAAAAGAGTAGTAGTTTCCCATCATTTCCTGATCTACTGCAACATGTGATGCAGGCTGACATCAAGAGGAGCATTGGACGAACGTGGTAAACTTGATGAGGAGACACTTGTCAATGTAAATAACTTGATGAAGAGAGGTTCAAAAATTAAGGGATCAAGTGGGTTTAGTAACGAGTACATGGTGGTAAGATCTTTTCAGTTGTTTAATAACTTAAAATCTCCATGTGGAAAATATGTTTTCCACACTTATTGCTTATGTATGTTTTCTGCACTTAATATATTAATTTTCTGATTGTGTCTTATCTTCTTGTAACTGTTTTCTGCTAGTTAATTTTCTCATTTGCTTTATCTTCACCTATTTTATTGATAACCTGAGAATGTTGTATTTTCTTGCTAAGTATTTGACGAGCGTTGGATACTTGATCGTGATAGTCTAGAGATTGTCAGAATTGACTTTTTCCTGACATTCAAACACTATAGTCTACCTAGGTTATCGTTCATTAGGCATTAAAACAATAGGATAGTCACTTCGGAGCCACTACTTCCACAATGATGTTGGACTGCTACACTGGAAGGAGTGAAGGATTTCTTATAGAAAATATGACATTTACACATTAACTTTAGTTGTCATCTTTGGAGATGGTGCTCAAATCTCAGTTATGAATCCTACTGGACATAATTCAAATGGTTAACTTTTTTAGCTGTGTACTTATATGGGGCGGCGTTTAAGTCTTAATCTTAAGGAAATTGAGGTGCTTAGATTTCTTATTAGAAACTCGCGTGGTGTTAGCTGTGACTAAATTCATGGTTTGTCTTGATATCATAGAAACTTTCCTTGCAGCATTTTGGGAGCATGGTTAGCCATCTCGGCCGAGTTGTAACAAAGGGATAAGTACGATATCGATTCCCGAATCGTGGATAAATTCATATCTGTAGTGACTCGTTCTGACTCGATCGACATTGGCCGAGTCAAATCTGTGATGCTTGAAATCGGCCCAAATTTTCGAGTCAACTCGGAGTCAAACAAAGACAGACAAAAAATTTGCAGAAACAGAAAGTTATTAGCCCACCATTTTACATGCAACAAATTGGAGCTACTCCAACGCTTTACAACGACAATTGCTTTCTATCACATCTCTATTGTTTCACCTCCTTTTTTTAACTTTTACTAAAAAATTGAACACCTAATAATTGAAACCAAACAAAACATGAACAAAAAGATTAGTGAAAGTGATTCAAAAAGTGAATGAAAACAACAAAATAGTTATTGCATCCAACTCAATTATTGCCATATGAATTCAAAACCTTCATAATAAGCACCAATTAGGGTTGCAAACGACTCGAACTGCTCACGAGCAGATCAAGTCAACCTCGACTTGAGCTCAGTCAACATTGATTTCGAGTCAAATTCGAGCTGACCAAGTCGAACTCAATCTCAAAGATACTTAGTTCGTTAGCTTGCAAGCTAACTCGATTATATATGTGTGTGTGTGTGTGTGTATATATGTATATATAAATTATTTTTATTTTAATAGTAAAATTACATATATATCTCTAATATTTTATTATTTTATTTATTTTTTAAAAAATAAAATAATTATTTTTTATTTTTTTAAATTCGAGCTCGAGTTCGAGCTGTTACATTAAGAGCTCATCGAGTTCAAATTCGAGTTTGAGTTTGATAAAACTAAGTCGAGACTCGATTCGATTAGACCAAAATTCGAATCGACTCAACTCGTTTACAACCCTAGCACTAACAAAAGGCTCAAAGTTATCAAACGTCCTTCCCCTCATGCTTTATTATTTTATTTTTCAGCCACAAAGACAAGGGAAAGGGGAAGGGGTAGGAGAAGATAAGGTGTAGAAAGTAGAGTATAGTAGAGAATCAAGTAGCAGAGAAATGTACCGACAATTTCATCACTGATTTGTTGTCAATCAAAGCATCAAGCAACGCACCGGGTTGTCTTGATTAAACCCATGATTCTCCAAGTGAGTTTGCTACATCGAAAATAGGAAAGAATAGAAAAGTTATTGCCGAAATTATAGTTGGAGTTGGAAGTGATTAAGTAGGAGGTAGTGTGAAATTGGAGTAAGAATTGTCTTTGCCTTCTATGAACATCATGAAGAGTAGAAAGGAGAAGAAAGAATGAAAGGGAGGAAAAAGAATGAAATGAACGACTAAATTTGGAGTGACAAGAACGAAGCTAAAATTAGACTAGTTGGGCTTTTCTAGTAGAGCCCAAGACAGGAAAAAAAGAAGGAAAAATTAAAAAAGTCCAAGTTTGACCCAAGTAATTAGGAGATTGCACTCCTAATTTTAAGCTCAAACATGAGGCCGAAAGGTTCGCATTTTCTTTCAAATTAGTTTCTTAGTTTTAATTTTTTTGGTTTTAGTATTCAAATGTGATATTTAGATATTTGTAAATTTATGTAATTCATTTTGGCATTTTTATATATTATTAGGTATATGATTAATTTGATTAAATTGGTAATTGTATATTTAATATATTTGTATAATATCAGTAGTCTCTTATATTTAATTTTTGATCTCATATAAAATAGGTTTAGAAGGCACACATGATACTAAAATCATTTATTGCTAATGCTATAGGTTTACGATAATGGCAGCATTATTTTATTTAAATAATTAGTAACTATATATGATAATGTAGGTATTTAGTAACTTTAATTTGATAAATGTGTCTTTTATGATATTTTATATTTTTAGATATTTTGAAAATTTTTATATGCTATAGCGTGCATATCATCCAATATCTAATTGATATGCCGCGACGGATATAGAACAATCATGACCGCAATGCGACCGCGACCTATGACGGTGAACCATGTTTGGGAGTGAATGATCATCTTTCGATTACCTATATGTATAGGTTACAATATTGGTGGCTGCTGATTGTGAACGTCAGCTGCGCACCATCAATGGTAAATCCGACTTGCGAAAAGCCTTGAACAAGCTTGGCTCCATTCCTTCAAGTAAAACTCTGGGAAGAAAATGGGGGAGTTTTCCTAAGCTAGCCTCTATCATTACCTGGCCCTTCTCCGTGTCATTTCATAAATGCTCTCCATGCAGGCAGTTTGAGGTGTCGTGGAATCCCCAGAAAGAAGATGATGTGTTATCAGATCAAGAATTGCTTCGAAAAGTACCTCTTTTTGAGGCCTTTATGATCAGTGACAGAGAGTGTCCTGGCTTTCAGTTTTGAAATACAGGAACTTAGGTGATGGGGAAATCAGCCACCTGGCGTCTTGCAACTTGGAAAAATGAAGTCCGCCAAAAATTCAACAGATAGAATCTTGGATACCTTAGGCCTTGTTTGGATTGCCGGTTTCGGTCGAAAAATTACGTCGTTTTTCGTTATCACATTTCCCTATTACCATTTTCCCTCACATACATCAAATCGCTACAGTAATTTTTCCATGAAAAATCACGGAAAATGCAATCCAAACACACCCTTAGCTTTTAATGGTCATCAAGGATCCGGATTTTCCTTCACTATTTGTACATTTCAACCAAGTTCGTACATTTTTAAATAAAGAATAAAAGAATAAAAATGAAGAACTCTTGAATGAAACTAACTTTACTCCTCTTAAGTGTTTCTATTCTACTCTAATTTAGTCAAGACTTTACTCTTTGCATAAGAAACCTCACGTCAGAGTTAATTTCCAAAATAACACACTACTTTCTCAAAAATTATTTGCCAGTTTAATACTTTTCTAAAATTATTACCCAACATGAAATCATCTTTACCAACAATCAAAATAAATACACATTTCGGGTGTTAAAACAGACAACCGTGTGCCATTAATAAAAACGGCTCCTTTTGATTCAAAGCTCAAAGATAAAAAAAAATAGCTAACCAAAACCTAACTCTTGTCCTTGGTGCCTTGAACCTAGAGATGTAATCGAGTCGATTCGAGCTCGAGTAGTGCTATACTCGAGCTCGACTCGACTCATATATCCCTAGGCTCGAACTCGGCTCGATAACGAAGGGTATTTTGTAAATTTCATATAACTTATACCCATAATAGTCATTTTATAATTATAATACATATATATTATTTAAATTATAAATATATTATTTAAATAACCCCGGCTCGACGAGTAGCTCGATGAGCCTCGAGCCGGGGATTTTTGACTCGAAACTCGACTCGATTTTCGTTCGAGCTACTCGAAACTCGGCTCGAACTCGGTCAACCCGAGTTCGAGCCAAGTCGTTGACCAAGCTACTCGCGAGTAGCTTGGCTCGCGTACACCCCTACTTGAACCTAGCACAACCAACAAAAGTAGATCACTTTCACTTCCAAAACAAGGACAAGCATAAATAAAATTAAATAGCAATCATTAAATTCATGAATTTTTTCCTCAAATGGAGAAAAATTAATAAAGTAATCATGATCTAGATAAAAGCACCAGATAGTACCAAATTTTGAGCTAAACCAATATTTGGGACTTTTTTTTTCTAGTATTTAGCCACTAATTTGTCAAAAAAAAAAAGAAGACATAACAACCTACATATAGGAGTTGGATTTTTTTCTTAAAGAAGAGGAAGTAGTCTTTATTTATCAGAACAAGAGAATTATTATGACAAGAATAATTTTGTTTAAAAATTCTAACCGATAGAAATACTGGTAATTTTGAAAATTATTATGACAAAAATAATTTTGTTTAACAGTTCTAATTGGTAGAAATATGGGTAATTTTGAAATATTAATAATTTGTAATGATCAAAAGTAACTTTTAACTGACGGAAGGAAGGTAAAGTGCTCAAAATTAAATGTTAAGAGGCAAAGTGATTTTAGATTAAAAATGAGTTTATATATATAGCCTTGATGATTTTAAGATTAGGTTTTTGCTCAAACTCCCCACACGTTCAATGATTGGCCACAATTCGTTCGTAGATGTACCCAACATTGGGCCCGCTCCCAGATTTCCAGCTTCTGGTTTCCATTCAAGCTCTTCTTCCTCCCTTCCCTCTCATCTTTCTCTGTCCAAAAACATATCTTTGATTCTCTTCTAAACCCTTATTCGATTCAATTCCGGTTCAACTCAATTTTGCTGAATAAAACTTGTTGAGCTCATCTTTTATGGCCACAATTACCGCACCAAAACCAACCACTTTCTTGCTTGAATCCAACCTCAAATGGAACCCTTTGTTGC